CTTGAGTGGTAACACACCAATTAGACTTAATATAAATTACAACCTTTTGAGCATTAAGAAAAAAAAAAAAAAAGACAAACTATAACCTTCTGCTCTTAAATTCTCAGGTTTTGGAGAAAAATAAAATTATTGAATTATATAAATCTACATCTCTAAAGTTAACTCTTGATTGCTTAAAAAAATATGATAAATTTGCAAACACCATTAATCAAACTCAATACAAAAATCAATTACAGAAAACACAATGGTCCCATGACAGCCCCACTTATAGTAAATATATGCACATACAACTATAAAGATATTAAATTCTCACTCGATAAATCTCACACAATCAAGAGCGAAACTCTTGCAAATCAAGAACGAAACCTTTCCGAAAGGCACTAAGTTCCAAACAAAATATTAGATGGAGAAGTTAACAACTTACTGTAAATTGGATAATCACTTGTAGTTTTTCGAATGCGCCACATCCTCTCAAAATTTAGTTTTGAACCTTCTAAAGAATTGATTGGAAAGCCTATTGAGGAATGCCCAAATTCTAAGAAATTTCTAATTGAGAGATTCGACAAAATCCCTTCAAAACCCTAGAGTATTTAGCCAATATTTTAGGTATCCAAGTTATGGTTGGATTTCACCCTTTAGTATTCCCGCTAGTGAGTGCCACCTCATGTTGTAATGCCATGTCAGATCTGATGTGGCATTTAGCTTAGCCACCTTAACGGGGATTTAACATTTTCAGTTAATATTGACCGTGGGTGACTAATGGTTGGACACGTTGGGAAGTTAGGTGACCATTTTGTTAGGTTTAGAAGTTGAGTGACCAAAAGGTTGATTTTAATAAAGTTGGGTGACCACCCATGAGATTCACCCTATATATTTCTTTCTTTCTTTCTTTCTTTTTGAAGGCTTAAGTATTGAAAAAGGACCCTAACTTTTACTAAATTCTTAATTGAGATCCTCAACATTTATTACACTCAATTAAGGTCTTAAACTCACACAAACTCTCAAATTAGGACCCAATTGGACGGAATCTTACCATCCGTCAATTCTCACTTGACTGTCCGTTGCGATCTGTTACCCCCTCAGTACGTGGCATACCAATTGGAACCATAAAGTTGACTATAAAAAATATTTTCCAGCATGGCATATTGGGCGGGATCTTTCCCTCCACATAATAGGTGGTCCCACAAGACTCCTTTTCCTAGACTCTTTTTTTATTTTTGACTATTCAACACCTTTTTAATATAATATAATTCGTAAATTCAAAGACTTCATCTGCAACGTGAAGAGATTGCGAGGCTTAAACCCAAAGAACTTCTGCGGAGCCGATATCTACAACGGCATTATGATCCGTTACGTCAAGGCTTCGCTGACATACCGAGCCAATCGAAGGATTCTGTGGTGATCGATTTCAACTATTATCGCGTCGACAATGCTTCCACCCCGAGGCTAAACGAAGACATCTGGGAAGAAATCGAGCAAATGGCATTCTTCAAGTATGGCGTGCGGCCACATTGGGCGAAGAGTAGGAATCTTGGGTTCTTGGGAGTGCAGAGTAATTACCCAAACTTCAACAAATTCATTGCGGAGAAGAAACAATTGGACCCGCAAGGCATATTCTCTAGCAAATGGTCGGATCAGATACTGTTGGGAAGCAAAGCTATTGATAAAGGCAACGGGTGTGCACTAGAAGGACAGTGCATTTGCTCGGAGGACAAACATTGCAATCCGAGAACAAGGTACCTCTGTAAAGAAGGTCTTGTTTACAAGGAAGCCAGAATCTGTGGATATTCGTCATCCTCCATTGTGTAACGATTCTATGACACCACCGAACTCCATCTCGCCACCAAGAACAGCCCCAAAACAGAGTGGCTCAAGGTTAGCCAAACCCAAAAACAAAAAAGAAGAAGCCGTCCATAATTTTGAGGGAATTCAGTTGCAATGGAAGTATGTCTGCATAGAGCCTTTGAAGATCTTGTAGGGAGAAAGGCAGGCTGTTGGGCGGAGAAGTTCCAAGGATTGGGTAGGCTGCTATTGGGTGGAGAAGAAGATCTTGCATGGAGAGAGGCAGATTGAAAATTCTAGGGATCTCACTCCCAAATCGTGAAATAGGAAAGAAGAAGATAGATGGGAGAAAAAGGAGCCATGGGATCACACATGCCACGTAAGAATGTAATTTTTTACAATCAGCCTTATGGGTCTAGTTGGCATGCCACGTATTGAGGGAGTAATAGACCGCAACGGATAGCCAAGTGAGAATTGACGGATGTTAAGATTCCATCCAATTGGGTCCTAATTTCAGAGTTTGTGTGAGTTCAAAACCTTAATTGAGTGCAATAAATGTTGAGGACCTCAATTGAGAATTTAGTAAAAATTAGGGTCCTTTTTCAATACTTAAGCCCTTTTTGAATGGTGGATTGCAAAAGAGAGAGACATTCCTCTTTTATTTATTTAGGTTTAAATTTCTATCTTAAGAGGTAATTTAATAGTTA